GAGCCCTGACAGCCGGACTGGCGGAGGGGTGGGGGGGGGGGTATATGTCACTTCGAAAGCAGAAGAGGAAAATAGGCCAGTAGGAAGCACACTGCGGCCTGTAGTATAGGGCTCTGCATAGCACCTTCAGTGCAGACCTTAAAGAGCAACTGAAGTCTATAGATTTCTCAATGCAAACACCGTGAAACCGCAACAAATTGTGCATGTGTTGCATACTTGCAATTCTGTGTTACTGTTTCCAATATCCACATTTGCTATTATTCATATGCCATCCACACCCCCAGTCCCAAGGACTCTGCCATCCCTGACACGGGCCCACAGCTCACATACCCACTTTTGGTCAGTCCCACCTAGGCCACACCCTTTCTTGTGTGGTTTCACCCCCAAATATGGGGGGAAACACCCACTTGTGCCCACACGCACCTAAGTTAATACCCTTTTTTCAGTTACTGGAGTGCGGCACTGTCCAGGCAAATCTGGGACAGTTGGCATCTATGTGCCTAGTCTATTCCTCAGCATTCCTGGGAGGTAACGGCTTTATTACTGTCTGATTGAAGTGATGTAATCAATCTATCACAGGACGTTCTCTGTAGGAAGAACTTTCATTCTTTCCCAGGGATTGGGTGGGTAATAGGACTGTCTATCCTCAGGACACGACAGGGAGGAGCCACACTGTTCTGAGCACTGATGGTCTCCACCCCATGTGCAAATGTTGAAGCACAATTACATACTATGAGGGAGGTGTGGAAAGCCTATGAACTCTGAGCTGTGCAGCCAGCAGATATGAAGCCAGAGGTCACAGAGAATCCCAGGTCCCGTACTGTGCTTATACAGCAGCTGGAAGACCTTCTGGAGCCACAGGACACACAGGTATGTATATTTATGAAGGCATGCACTAATTCAGGGTGCTGATGTGCCCTCTGCTTTATTATTGCGGTCACAGACATCAATGCTGGAGGTTATTATTACATCCACTGGTACCAATGTTGGAGGTTATTACTGCAACCACTGACACCAATGCTGGGGGTTATTATTGCATCCTCTGATACCAGTGCTGGGGTTTGTTATTGCATCCACTGACACCAATGCTGGGGGTTATTATTGCACTCACTGACACCAATGCTGGGGGTTATTATTGCATCATCCGATACCAGTGCTGAGGTTTGTTATTGCATCCACTGACACCAATGCTGGGGGTTATTATTGCATCCTCTGATACCAGTGCTGGGGTTTGTTATTGCATCCACTGACACCAATGCTCTGAAGCTGCAGCGGCCGGCAGGAGAGAGAGGGAGTGCTGACAGGTGTGATCAGAGCCGCCGCGGCCATCTTGCGGCCCGCCGTTTTCCGCCCCGCTGGTGCCGTCAAGCAGTTGCTTGACCTGCCTATATGGTAGCGCCGGGCCTGACTACAGCCAGAGTATCAAGCCAGGCAACTGTCATTTTCAAAAGCAGGTCAGCTATGGCAGCCCCAGTACAGGTATCCATCAAGCTATTTTCTAATTACCTTGAACGACAATTTCCCAGAATTCTTTGAGGGTGCCCCCTGCTGTCTTCTCTTTCAGCGACTGGAGGAAATCATTATAAATCTGGGCACGTGACAGCTAAAAGCAGGAGATGGAAAAGATCAATGCAAAGGCAAACATATCACTTTATACAAAACCTAAAAGAAACATTTTGGCTACAGATACACCTAACATCCTGTTCTATTAAAGGAACATTCATGACTATGTACAATTTTTAATAATAGGTGTAGCATAAAAGCAGGAGACATTGTTACATACCCGAATGGCTTCTGTCCGTAAACACTTTATACAATTCATACTCTTCAGGTAATACTGAGACTGCTTGGTGTCCACAAACTCATAGATGTGTTTTACCAGCTGCCCGCTCACTGCAAGAGAGAGAAAAACATTATAACTAAAAGAAGGAATCAATGCAAGCTAAATCTCACTGGTTGCAGGCTGGGTACATGACATCCACTATGTAGATTAAAGGAGAAGTACTGGGAGAGTAAAATATACTCTTCCCAATAATATAGCTCGAGAACTGAGCGATCACAAAGCACTGAGTGCTCAGCTCATGGCTTCTTCCTGTAGAAAGCGGTGACTATCAGTTTATTGAGCATTTTAAAAGTACAAAAGGTACCTCCTTACCATCTTGTCTTGAATTGTATTGTGATTGTAATGTCTGCCCTATATTGTAAAGCGCTGCGCAAACTGTTGTCGCTATATACATCCTGTATAATAATAATAATACTAACAGACATAAACATTAAAACCACACATTCGATAGACAGCAACCCGTTCCATGCCGGGAAGGGTAGATAATATGTAAGGAACAAACAACCCAATAAACAATGCCCAACAAATACCAGAGTTGGCTCACAAGCCAAAAAGAAGATCCAGAGGAGTAAAGACGGTCACAAAGTTGATGGCCTGCCACCAAGCAGAGTGCTGTCCCCAGATCAGACAAAGGAAACATGTACAATAAATCCCAATATGGCACCGACACCATCTAGAATGTGTAAATATACAAAACTGGTAACACCAGGTCATCAAATCTGCTGGCTTACATGGCGGGATTAGCAGAGCTCCCGCTTTACTGCTGGACCACTCGGATATAAGTGCTGGAGGCTCATAGACCCTAGTGCTGCAGTCATGTCTTTGCCTCCCTCTTCTCCAGGCCAATCACAAAACACGCAACCCCAGGCTTCCTTCGGTGAATGGCCAGGAGTAAAGGAAGGCGGAGTTTAAATTAAAATTATTAAATAATTAGTATTAGTCTATTAAATGTCCTGTTTCTATGAATAATTTGTAATTAGTGTTTCATAATCACAGCATATTACACCTGACATGTCTATGTCATGTCTCTTCTCCATCTACACCTCCTCTCTTGATCAGTTAATAACCTCACATGGCTTCCAATACATCTCTATGCCGATGACACTAAAACATATCTTTCTACACCACAACTCACCCCCTCAGTGTCCTTGCGTGTCACTAATCTACTATCTGACATATCTGCCTGGAAGTCACAACATTTCTTAAAACTCAACCTTTCAAAAACTGAGCTCATGATATTTCCTCACCCCCCACATGCCCTTCCCCCAACTTTTCCATTGAGATTGTTAACACAACTATCCACCCCCCCCCCCCCCCCATGCCAAGGTATTAGGTGTCATCCTTGACTCAAACCTCACCTTTATTCCCCACATCCAATCACTATCCAAATCCTGCCGCTAAATTACTCATCCACTCGCTTGTGATATCTCGTCTTGACTATTGCAACTCCCTCCTCATTGGCCGATGTCTACACAGGCTCCTCCCCCCTTCAGTCTATTATGTATGCAGCTGCTAGACTCATTCACCTAACCAACCGCTCAGTGTCTGCAACCCCCCTCTGCCGATCCCTGCACTGGCTTCCACCCCCCTCTGCCAATTCCGACACTGGCTTCCAATAGCCCAAAGGATAAAATTAAAAGTATTAACAATCACTTACAAAGCCATCCACCACTCTGCCCCCGGCTACATCTCCAACCTTGTCTCAAAGTATTACCCTAACCGTCCCCTCCGCTCTTCAAAAGACCTTCTGCTTTTCAGCTCCCTCATCAACTCCTCTCATACTCGCCTCCAGGACTTTCTCTAGAGTCTCTCCCATCGTCTGGAACTCTCTACCCCAACCTGTCTGTCTATCTCCCACTCTGACTGCCTTTAGGCGTTCCCTTAAGACTCATCTCTTCAGGGAAGCCTATCCCACCTCAACCTAACCACTGAACTATCCCTTTCACAAACAATGAATCTCTGCACAGCTACCTCCTCATGTACCACTTGCCCCTCCCTTTTAGATTGTAAGCCCTCAGGGGCAGGGCCCTCCTTACCATCTTGTCTTGAATTGTATTGTGATTCTAATGTCTTCCTTATATTGTAAAGCGCTGTGCAAACTGTTGGCGCTATATAAATCCTGTACAATAATAATAATATGTTTTTAATAATCATCATACATAGAGGGATGCATTGGTAGAATTTGATTTTTGGAGTGTAAAGGTCCGCTTTAATGGATTGTACAATCAGATGAGGCAAGTTACAAAGTTTCTGATCACATTCCTGGAATTCTGCATACAGAATGTTCTTCATACCGAATTTCAAGGTTTAGTTATTTCTCATGACCAATACCAGCTTTTAATTACTTGCCAATTTGATAACATCGCACTATATCTAATTTTCTGAACACCGGGCTACTCCCCCCCCCACTCCCCACTCCATTGTTATAGCACAATAAAAGGAAAAAAAAACCAGAACGGGCAACCTGAACCCTGGAAATGCTGCTTTCTGTGCATTCCATTAGCAGCGATAAGCGACGAAACCCGTTACACTTTTAACACTCGGCTTCCTGTGTCACAGTTTAACTTTCTGGCATTAAATCTGGCACGGTTAAATGCCGCAGTCTCTTAAGTGAAAACCATAAAAACGTTACTTAGACGCCCCCACTCTGCCCCTTTATTAGTTCACAAAATGTCTCCCCACTGGAGTGTTAAATTAAAACCTCAGGCGCTGATATACAGATAGCAGTTCCTGCATAATGTGGGGGGAATAGAGAAGGCGGTTCACAGTATGAGCTAAAAACAGATCTGTACTACACAAAGGAAGTCAATATATGGAGGGTAATGCACCCCCTGCAGCCGTTAATAAGGACATTAGACGTCGACGAGCAGATCTGCGACCACATAAAAGCGTAAGACCGCTGGCATAATGCTTTCATACACACATGGAACTCTGAGTTGACTTCTCATATACATATAAATAATGGCTGGGAGGGTATTGCTCTGTGTAAAGCTTGTACACATAGGCATTCGAATTAGCATTCGGCAGGGGAGCTTAACAGCCCAGTGAGAGCAGAGAGCACCAATTAGGAGTGTTAAAAGGGAACTCGAGCGAAAGCATCTATGATAAGGGCCTTCAACATCTCAACAACCCCTGGTACTGATGTCCAATGTTCTTTACGGCTTCTATCGCTCTCTCCCTGGTTGTTGCTCTTATTTCATGGGGATGTCCCCTACTTAAAAGGAGAACTATGGGGTTAGGGCTTTTCCCCATAGTTCTTCTTAGGGTAACGGGAGGACACAAACTAGCGTCCTCCCGTCACCCTAAGCTCAGTATACCGCGAGCTACAGCTCGCGGTATACTGAGACGCCGCACTATACCGTGAGCTACAGCTCACGGTATACTGAGACGCCGCAGCTGAAGCGGATCCCGACAATTATGTCTGGATCCGCCCCGCTGCGTGATGGACACCTGGCTCTGCCTATCTAGAGGCAGAGCCAGCTGTACCCGCCCCCTCCCCCTTCCACCAGTGCTGGAGGATCGGATCGGGGGGAATCAAGCCCCTCCCCTGTCAGTCCGGTGTGATGGACTGAACCGTCACTGGTGCTGTTGGAGGAGCCTGGGGGCTAGCCTCCTTCCTATTGACTATGGACCCAGAACTATGGAGACCCCCCTCAGACCTCTTGGAGTTACAATGAACCATTCTACCAGGTTTATGTGTGGAGGGATGTACTGTACAGTTTCCCTGGCATTACATTTGGATGACCCTGTGTGTATTATAGGTACTGTGACTGGGCTGTGACTCCAGGAGCACTTATAGGGCTGTGACTCCAGGAGCACTGAAGGGGGATAATTCTGGACATTGAACTGTTACAGTTTATTGGTCCCTTTGTTGTATTGTGTTGATGATGGGATTAGGATAGCTGATTCTAGGAGTAGCTGACTCCGGGTGTAGATGAGTAAATCACACTATGATACTCTCAGGAGATAATCCCATCACATGTGTCTCCTCCCTTCCTATTCATTCATTAAGGCATCGGGGAGGGGGAGGGGGTGTCTGTGTGCATGCTGTTCATGTGTGATTGCGTTGTGTGTTTACACCCCCAGAGCTGTATATATACTGAGCTGGTCTTCAATAAAGCAGATCTTGTTTTCCACCTCAACATTGGTGTTGTCTAATAATTGAGTGGTTAAGCGTTCTGTCCTAATATATTGGTTCTGTCCAATAATTAGGGAGGTTTGGGCTGATGACACTGGGATTCGGGTTCCAGCGGAGAGGAAGCTGTTTTCTGACGGAGGTACCCAGTCGGGGTACCAGGCGGTCCGTCACAGCCGGTATGTGTTCGCTCACCTCCCGATCTACTGAGCCGACCTGTGACAGTCTCATTGTCACAGGTTGGCTAGAAACTATGAGGTGAGTGAAAAGCACTCGCCTCATAGTTCTCCTTTAACATTTTTGGAGTATTATCTTATCTGTCCACACCAGGGTAACAGGTACCTAAGACTCCTTGGATCTCCTTAATCTCCATTCTCCCAGGTCCAATTAGATCTATTTAAAAAAAAAAAAAAGATGTTCTACGCTACTCCCTAATACCTGCAAGACATTGGTGCGCATCCCAAATACCCTCTCTATAGCAGAATGAGCTGTGGAACTAGACTCCATCATGCATTCATGATAAGATGGTCCACTTCACCTTTACTTAGACAGCTGGGACTGTGCTTCACCATTCTCCGTAACTCCAAGATATGTTATCTATGTTCTTCTGCTATAAGATGGCTTGGGAATGGTTGATGGAGGGGATAGGGGATGGAGGGAGAGGGGGAGGAGAGTTATAGAGAAAGAAGTCCTTCAGCAGAGCAGACTATTTCAGGAGATAAAAGTTATATAGAGGAGGGAGCAGAGTCATCTAGCAGAGCAAAGTGATTCAGTAGAGGAGAGTTATCTAGAGGAAGCAGCAGAGTCTACCAGCAGAGTAGTTCAGGAGAGGAGAGTTATCTAGAGCTAGATGTGTAACTTCAGGACCCACGTTTGTCCTTGGTCATTAAGTCGCGACCCAAGTCGGCATTGCAGTACCGGGCGTTAGGGTGCAGGTGATCGGACTGTGGGTGGTGCGTTTGGGGTTTCATTCAAATGAATGGCAACGCAACACACCTTCCACACCAGAACGCACGGTAGGTGTGATTGTGTGGTACAGTGCATTAATCGCATGGGACTGGGTGATTAACGCACTGTACTAGTGTAAACAGACCCTAAAAAACACTGACATACGCACACAACCACAGACACAATCTTACACTCACAGACATACACACTCCCAAAATGTGTTTTAATTTTTTCAAGATGTACCCAGTCCTCCACCTTACAAGAACTGGAGTGGATCCTCAGCCTGGGGTCCAGTATGGGCTGCTGTGCTGTGACAGAGCTCCATCCATATGTGCATTGCTTGTACAGCTCCCTTGCGTGCCCTGCAGAGGTGCCAAGAGCCAGAATGGGACATCAGTCCAGATCAGGCACCTCTACAGGGCTGTAAGCAATACACTTATGGATGGAGCTCCTTATGGCCATACTTCCAGCCCACCCCACCTCAACCTGACACGCAGGGACTGGCAGCATATTTTGAATGGCTGCTTGGCGTGAGAACTGACGGTGCTGCGCTAGGGTCAGTAGTCTCCCACCTAGAAAAGTGGTAGGCATGCCGCGACCCACTGAACATGGGTAAAGCAAAACAAACGACAAACGCACTCAACAATTTGTTACCAGTTATACAGTAAGGTGCACACGAAATGGGCTTTGAACAGTGGTACAGTAGAAAGGCATCATGGCACACTCACAAACCAGGATGTAAAACAACTTGTCTCACCACTAAGGACAATGACAGAAGTTTGGATACACGTCTTCTGCAAAGGATGTGTAAGCCGCACTGCCGCGCCAAGGCACCTCTTATAGTGCGGTCCTAACTCTCATAGTTTAGAGTTAGGACCGCACTATAAGAGGTGCCTTGGCGCGGCAGTGCGGCTTACACATCCTTTGCAGCAGACGTGTATCCAAACCTCTGTCATTGTCCTTAGTGGTGAGACAAGTTGTTTTACATGCTGGTTTGTGAGTGTGCCATGATGCCTTTCTACTGTACCACTGAACATGGGGACGCGACCCGCTTTTGGGTCGCGACCCACCAGTTGAGAACCAAGGATCTAGAGGAAGGAGCAGAGTTCTCCAGCAGCGCAGAGTCTATGCGGAGACGAGAGGTAAACAGAAGAAGGCGTAGAGTCCTCTAGAAGTGCATTTTAATAGTATTTCATTAGAAGGGAGTTTGTTAGTGGAAGAAAGTTTCCGCCGGAATGAAATACTGCGGGGTGAAATGCCTGGGGCAGTCATCATGGCTGCCTCCCTATCTCTCCCCAGCAATGAGCAGTAAAGCACACACACTGGGCTATCAGCACACAGCGAAACCCAAGAACAGACACAGTATATCTGGCCAGGAAAGCTCCTCACTCACCTTGTGTAATCACCATACATCTCAGAAATGACACCCTCAGCTGGCCCTGCCAAGCTCTAGCGTACATCTATCTCTCATCCAGCACCTGCCGGCACAGATGAAATAAAAAGTCCAGGTGGCCATATTTCAAACTTTCGGAGACATGGCGCTCGTCCAGTTGTTGCTGCTTCATACAGCTGCACAGGATCCTCAGAGAAATGCCTTCTCTTTACTATCACCAATAAAACTTATTCTACAAGCATCTGCAATAAGTACAGACAACTCAACGTTCCACACTGATTGAAGGGCCGCATGTTGCAGCAAGTCTTTGCAGAACGTTTACTAAGATTAGTAAATAAGGTGAGGATGTGTTAACTTTGAGTAACCAAAAAATAAATGCTTGCATATAATTGGATGATTACAGTATAGAAAGCTTTGCCTCATTCACTAAACTAGGTGAAGGTTCACCCGGTATGGGCCCTCTGCTGGAAATACTGAGTGGCCCTGCGTAGGCCTGCACAGAGAAGAGCACTGGATCGAGGTGCACTGTACTTGTCCAGGTGGAAGGCACAAACGGAGATGGGGGAACTGATAAAAGGACGATTGTATCACAGGTACAGCCGTCCTTAAGGGCCTGTTCTATCAGGTCCTGATCAGGTGCGGATCTGCAGACGCGGTGCTACTGATGCAGTGCATTTTTGCCGTGTTCCAGTTTTTTGCTGGAGTGGGGCTGTCAGTATGTTAGCTGCAGTGCAGTGCGTTTTTGACGCGTTTTTCGTTTCTGGTCCGTTTCCTGACCGTACAAAATGTGACATGCAGTATTTTTTCTGTCGTAACCTGAACGGACTGCGCACGTGAGAACTGTAGCCCATAAAACACATATGGATACATTGGGATGCATTTTTAGTGCAAGAGCGTACGGATGAGGTCAGCACAGAAAACGGACGGCGTGTGAACAGGCCCTAAGCCCTCGTTCACACCTGACCGTTTTGTAGCGCGCTCTACGCTCGACGAACGCTCTACAAAACGGTCAAAAAAATAAATTGCATTGTAGTCAATGGTCTCGTTCCCACCTTGCCGTATTTCCGCCCGTCGCTACGGCCTACAAAACGGGCCACGCCGGAAAAGGTCCAGGTACTACTTTGGGCCGTTTTGTAGGGTAGTTTCCATTGGGATACAGCCAAGTAGCCTTCGGTCGCGCGACAGACGCGCATATGCAATACGCCTAGGTGTGAACGAGACCTAAAAGAAGTAACTCACCGTCCTTGAAGTTCATGTTTTTCTGCCTGACCAAAGCTCGGAAGTCATCGACCGGATCCACACTGCCCACCTGAAACAAGAAACCATCTGATTATCAAAACTGAAATGTCATTACCTTCATCAGCAAGGCCTCCTCCACTCAGCCCAATGCAGAGTGAAATTGGACACACAAATAAAATACAAATCTGCATCAATAGAACGCATGTGTCAGCGTTACCAAATCACATTATCACTTTGAATGAAGAACAAGCCCCAGCCTAGGCAGTCTCCATACCATGGTCTCTGGCTACCAATCATTACTGCACAGAGTCTACTGTTTTCGGCGGTGAGATACGAGAATCAATAAGGAATACCCTGGTGTGCATAGATAACTACAAACTACACACAGGAAGCTTTATAACACATTCAATCACATCAATGAGATGCTTTACATCAGGTTGATGTCTTTCACATACATAGTACTGTGCAAAAGTCTTCAGCACTGATAAAGAAAACACATTTATTTAGTAAAACAGACCCCTTTTTTATGCAAATTACTAAGTAGACCAAAACCGGCCCCTGAGGAAGACTAGGCCACATTTTCACAGCTTATTGTAAAGAACCATTTCTGGGTGTGGAAGTTAAACCTCTATTCCTTGAGTTGCAAAGAGCACTGGCTTGCCACACATGAAATGATGCCCTTTGTGTTTAGAGCTACTTCCACAAGGGCCCATTCACGCCATTGTGCTTCCTGTACCATGGATTAAAATGTGCGGTGTAAAGGCAGCCAATTCATTTGAAAAGGGCTGCCTAGCACCCCTAAATGCATCAGAAAAAGGTGCATGTAGCAACTGTGACAGCACTCTGCATCTTGCTGTAATGCATGTCTGTTGGAAAGGTGCGTTAAGGTGCAGTTTATAATCAATGGCACCGCATTGCAACAATGCGCATAACAATGGTGTGAATAGGACCCAAGACCTTAGGAGCACCATTTATGAAGCAGCAGCCATACTGACCAACAGCAGTGTGCTTTACAAATGGGCATTGTGCTCCACTTGCTCTGGGAATCCCAGACAGGCAAAGCAGTATATAGAGAGAGAGAGACATAAAGAGAGAGAGAGACATAAAGAGAGAGACATAGAGAGAGAGAGAGAGACATAGAGAGAGACATAAAGAGAGAGAGAGAGACATAAAGAGAGAGGAGAGGGAGGGAGAGAGAGGAGAGGGAGAAACATGGAGGGGAGAGATATGGGGAGGGAGAGAGATATGGGGAGGGAGAGAGATATGGGGAGGGAGAGAGATATGGGGAGGGAGGGGAGATGGGGGGGGGGGGAGAGATGGGGGGG